TGCAGGGAACTTTCACCTCCCGGAACTTCCTTGTGTATAGCGGGGTCTAGAATGCATAAGTACTGGTTTAACTTACAACAATATCTATAAGTGATTTGGGTTTCCGAATATTTAAAGAACTGGTTCTGGTGAGTCCGGTTCCAAATAGAACCGAGAACTTGGAATAAAATACATGAAATTGAATTTAAATACGCGTTTTCCACCTTAGTATCTCATTTAAAATAAAGTAATGTTTCCACTTAAAATATGATTTTTTTGTTGTTTTGTAACAGCATATAGTTTTTGGGGAGTGTTGCTGGAGTGACAGTCCTTAGCCAGATATATGTAAATCTGGGTTTGATTTTTTCGATGCTCTTTTTACGCAGAAGAAACTTTTGAGGAAGAAAAGTAGCATAACATTGAATTCAAAGAAAAAAAAAGTCTAGGTCAACTCAGAAATCCATTATATGTATGTGTACCTACTTATCGACTGCCGAGTGGAAGATCGACCTATCTCGGAGGCCAATTCGAAAACGTCCTATCTCAAAAAACTTTTGAAGAACGCCCTACGTGTCGGCCGCTGTGGTGTAGTGGTAAGCAGTGCGCGCTTCAATTCCGCTGCGCCTGGGTTCAAGCCCTGGTCAAAGCAACATCGAAAAAAATATATAGAAAAAAGGTTTTTTCTTAACAGCGGTCGTCCCTCGGCAGGCAATGGCAAACCTCCGAGTGCATTTCTGCCATGAAAAACAGCTTCTCATAAAAATCAAATCGCCGTTCGGAGTCGGCGTAAAACTGTAGGTCCCTCCGCTTTGTGTGACAACATCAAGGCGCACGCCACAAATCGGAGGAGAAGCTCGGCCAAACACTAACATATGTGTAAGCGCCAATCTATTATTATTATTATTGTATTTATACATAGTACATACCGTCGCCTGGGTAAAAGATTGTCGAATGTTAGTTTCGACAGGTTGTGAGAAATCGCGATCGAAGTTTGGAATGCAATTTCTCAAAAACGCGAAGATAGATTTTCTCCAAAATCTCTGAAAATGTTACTATTTCACAGAGTTCTTAAATTATTTAATTTTTAATGTTTATTGTTAATGAGTTTTGAGTTTATGAATGATTTTCTTTAGTAAAATTTTGTCATAAGCGTCATTTGTCCACAATTTGGCAGCCACTTTGTATGAAATACGACAAAATGTGATCAAAATTTCTACCAAATTAACGACACTTTTTACTCAATATCTCGGAAACTAAAGGAGATATCCAAAAATGGAGAACGCCATTTTTAAGATATTGATTAGTTTAATACGACGAAATTATTGAAAAAGTCGTAGTCAATATTTCGGAAACTAAAGCGGATATCTAAAAACTGATAACATCAATCAAAATACCTTATTTCGAAATATAGAACTGCATATAGAACTAAAAATCGTCAAAATGGCGCTTACGACAATCTTTTACCCAGGCTACGATACATATTTAGATTTGATCTAACCCTGGTATTTGTGTATTAGGGAGTTATTAGAATCCAGAAAGGAGCTTTAAAACTATTAAATTCGAATATACACAACTCTGGAATACTTGATTTGCCACTTTGACTTTTATTTTTGCCTGAAAAAAATAATAATATTGGCAGGCTCTAGGTGTGTATTTGGTTAGAGTATTGGTGTTTTTGGTTCAGTGTGTTAGTGTATTTTGAATAACCCTGCAAACCATTTTTTCAGAGTATTCTGAATCGTAAAGAAATTTTAACGAATTCGGAAAGATCCCATCCGAATTTTCTAAAATGACATAAATTACGCACATTTCCATTCTTTTACGAAATTTCGGAAGAAAATCGGTGAAGAAATGAAAATAATGCTGCTATGTGAAGAATTTCTTGCAGACTTTTTTCAGAATTTTCTTTATTTTTCGTACAGAAATTTCTTTACGAGTTCGTGTCAACCACTTCATATAATTTTCTTTGAAGATTCGGAAAAAAATCGGTACACAAATCAGATACTCCTAAAGATTTCGTTAAGATTTCGGGAACTGTGGTTTGCAGGGAAATTGTAATAGAAATAAAAGAAATTGGAATAAAAATGAAAGACATTAGGTTTGTTCGTCGAGCAAAAAATTTGTACGAATTTGTACGAATTATCACGATTTTTGCCCAAATCGCGTTCGTGCAGACCAAAAAATTATCCAACACTCAAAAATTGTGAGAGCAAAGTGACAGTTCTCTTGGAGAGAAGTTGCAAATTCTTGCTGGAAAAAATTTTGCCAGCAAGAATTTGCAAACACGAAAAACATGTGGTTGTGGCGCATGGTTGCATTTTTGTCTACAATAATTTGAATAAATTAGTTCGTTAAATTTAAAAATTTATAAACACGAGCGATTTTTTTTATGAAAAAAGGAAGTAAATAATTGTTGATATAATTAATTTAGTTAATTCCAATGATTTGAACTTAATTCGGCTGAAAAAAATGGTATTCGCAATCGGAATGCAATTGCAACCAGAGTCGATTTAAGAAACCCGACAGCTAGTACGATGAAGAAATTGAAATGTATGTTAAAGAAAGTCAGAACAACAAGAAATATACATGTATATCCTGTTTTTGGCCATCCGAAAGAATTTTAAAAATTCTATAAAAAATTGTTTATGTTTGAAATGCAACCGTGGACGCCAGCTGGCAGGGAAACTTGCAAATTCCTGCAAATTTGCGTTCGTGCAGAAATTTGCAAGTTTCTCAACATGAGAGAGAATTTGAGAGAATTTTTTCTTACTCTCTGATATTTTGAGTGTTGGATAATTCTTGCTGGATTTTCGACGAACAAACCTATTGTAAAAGATAAGAGCACATACCAAAAAACAGGTGATCTCAGCTGTAGGCATTTTCTGGCAATCAGCTGATAGTGTTTTTACTTATGAAACTGTACGATGGGCATAACAAGGAAGAAGTGATTTCGCCATTTCTCTACTTTGAACTGCGACTGAAATGTCAACTCTTAACCCTATACAATTAACAACTCTAATTTTTTAGTTTAAATTTTCAATTGTGAGCTGTGCTACTGATTTTAAATACCCAATAAAATGAATAGGATTTGCGAGCGGTGTGCTGTGTGCGGCAAGAGCCAGGACAACAAACTTTATTGTCAAGTGAAGCGAAAAAGGTGGGCGAATAGCTGCGGTGTTTCATTGGAATACTCTTCGTGTGTGTGCGAGAACCATTTTAGGGCCAGTGACTTCATATTTGTTGCCCACTGCAACTGAGTATTTCTAAACGCTCTCGTTTTTTCCCAGGCACAATACCTCTACCTTGCGATTCCCCAATGCTTCAATTATCCCAAGATTCGTCGTACCTGAGGTGTCTGTGGGGACGAAGTTGGGGTACGGTTTAGTACGTTGCCGATCTATTTCGAGGTATTGCGTCCAAAGGGGTGACCTGATCCAAAAAAAAATTGCACACACATGTAGCAAAGGGTCTAAACATGATTCTAACACCCACTTTTGTAATTTTTGGTCACTAATTTATTTACAAATTGGGTTAGAAATATGCCCTTTTTTATAAAATTCGGAAATTAGCGTAAATTTATCACTCCTATTCTCCTTAAAGCAGGCACTTCAGCAATATATTTTTATATTCTCCTTCACTTTACACTTTACTCGATGAGTTATAACTTTCTTTATGACTTTAATATTAACCAATTAACCACAATTTATTAAATAAAAACACCTTCTAAATCATGCGTCTGACTTTGGTTGCATATGCAAATTAAACGGCGGAGCTCAGCTGTCAAACTCCAAAATATGCAAAAGAATGAGAGACAAAAGAAAATAGGATATAACCCTGTAAGCATTAAAAATATACACACAAAGGAGAATTCTACTGCCTGAGGGTTACAATCCCTAAGTGCGGCCGAAGGCCGCCTACGCAGAAAGTTGTTCTGTGCAAAAGGTGTTCAGCCCCCCTTCTTTGGCAACACAGTAAGGAGAATTCTACTGCCTGAGGGTTAT